CTTTATGTCTAATTTCTAACAAGGTCTATTCTCTGCAGTGATTGGTAGATTTCAAAAAACAAGTCACTTGTGATATAATCTTGAATCTAGAGGAAAGGTCAACATGAAGTGTTACCAGAATTGCTTTTTTAAGACTCAGGATTACAAAGACTGAAAGGTTAATCCTCTGGTAGTCTGTAAGAACTTGTATTTGATGTTCTAAAATTTATTTTAAAGCTAGATAATGACATTTTCAATTAAACACAAGTCAAATACTGAAGTCCTTAATACTTACAAAATTTACAAAATGTAGAATTAGGCACTTAAGGGAAAATTAAAGTAGCAGTAACACACTCAACTGACTAAAAAATCTAAATCTAAAATTTAAGACAATTTCATATTCGGGTGTACCTACCCCTTAACTTATAAAGAAGTGAATGAAAAGAGCATATGTTGATGTAATTTATATGTACACAATAATTTACTAATCATCCAGTAACAATGCATACACTCAGGAAGATTTCATGTTGACCTTTTCTCTAGATTTGAGACTATATCAGAAATGACTTGCTTTTGAAATTATGCTTCTTGTCCTAACTAAGCCAGACCACAACAGCAAATGTGATTGTAAATCCTGGATTTTACACAGCTATCTAAGTTAAGACTGTAAAAAGCAGAAGCACCAGCCCTGCTGGAACATAAATCATATTACTAACAGCTACACCAATTTTTATGAGCGAATGCTTCGAAGCACAATAAATTGTCATATTCATTTCATGACAAAAAATACTGGTCTTTCCTCTACACAGTAAATTCTTAATGATGACATTTTAAAAAATTCTATTCTCTGAATATAAATATTTCTGAGAAAACCACAAAATATCAAGGAACAGAGATGCACATGTTGCTAAGGAGCAGCTTAGCCAAGTTTTTTCTTAAAATTTAATAACAAACTATAGAAGAAGGAGGCAATTAGAAAATGTGATTTAGCTATCATTAATCTACATCAAAGGATTATAATGATGTACATTGTGTGCCTTTCAAATTATTCTCTATTATAGGCTTCACAACAGAAGTTGAGAAATCTCTTTGACAAACTAGTCCCTTATTAAAAATCAAAGGAAAGTACTTTGCTACCATCTGTGCAACATTAACGCCCTCACTGAAGAATGATTAGTTTGTAAGAAGTACTCCATTCCATTTAAAAAAAAAACAAAAGCAACACAGCTATTCAAATCTTCATCTTCATCTATTATAAAAAAGTCATAACATATATGAAACACTATGTAATTCACTCCAGAAAGACAAGCCTCTCTCCGGAAACCAGAAAACAGAAAAGGAAACTGTGATCCAATGAAAGCATCATCAAAGTGCTTTTGTTTTTAACTGTACCACCACCACCAACACATTCCTCAAAGAGTCTGACCAGCACCTGCAAGGTCAGATTTAATATGATGGGAAGCAATATAAAATACAAACTTTTAAATTTGACTCTATTAGTAGAAAGCAGATTATGTTATAAAGAATAAGGTAAAATTATCCATAAATGGTTGTCAGAAAAATTTGTGACCGACAATCTTTTCTCTTTAAAGTACACTGAACCGAGGAAAATCTGTTCGAGTATTTGGAAGCTCATTTTAAAAAGTATTTCTATAAATCAGGCTTCTTTATCTCCAGTATACTATATACCATGTCCATGATTTGACAAGCTCTTCCTAATTACCCACCTTAATTATGGTAATTACATATTTTATAGTAAATGCAAGTAACAAGGTTCATTTGAAAGATAAATTGTGAACTACAGGGTTTAAAAAAATAGAGATGTAGGAGATAGCCAACCATCCTGCTTAATTCATCATCCTCAACACCCATTTAACAGAATCATATGATTTTCAAGTTAGACCTTAGGGATAACTTAACTGAATAACCTTATTTTATAAGACCCATTTCCAATTTCCTCATTATAAAGAGGACAAACCATTATTTGTCCCCAACTGTTTGTTCCCTGTACCTATTCACCTAGTACACCTTATACCACTTTAGGTTTAGGAGTACTTGCTATATAAATCAACATGAATTACTACATAAAATATTGAATACACTATAAAGAAACAAAGAACAATACTCTCCAACTCAAATGCCCTTTGAGGCTAGTTTGTTTTGGGGCCCTCAGGAGGAAAAGTTGATGACAATGCAACTGATAAGCAGAAAAGGCTCTGCACCATGTAATTTACAGATCTGGACAGATACTTTTATTTCAATATGCTTATTCTCTAGATTTACCATCTTCTATAAAAGGAGCAAAGGAGGATGTTACCATTATAAAATGAATTGTTGAAACCAAAACCTAAGAATTTGTTTTAAAATTGCTTTAATTAAGTTTAGTCTTTGGGATATGAATTAAGCCCTAGCACTTCCAATTTGTCTCCAATGCAAAAAATATAATGAACACCTACACTCCTCATGAAAGCTTTGAGCTAAATGATAAAACAGTAAACAAGAAACTTACAGTGTGACCTCCCTGCATAACCTAAGTCCTCGATTTCCGTACCCACAGAATAAGGGACTCAAGATGACCTTCCTGCTCCTAAAATTCTGATTATATGTTATCCAAACTGAAATTTCAATTCATTTTAAAACAAGTAAGGTTGAAGCCAACACTACTAAAGTCTGGTAAGGACAAAAGTAGTTATTACTCACTATAATAAGGAAGATGAACACAAAATGGCTTTCAAAAAATGAATCACCATAATTCCCTCCCCAAACTCCACATCTATTTTTAGATGAGAAAGACGGCATTCTAAAAGGCCTCAGGCCCCATACAAAAACTTGTTCTAAACTCAATGATTGTCCACAATATCTTAAATGTGGAGGCATTTCACAGAGTCCACAAAATATGAAAACCATACTAAAGACTCAAGTATCACCAACCACAGTAAAATTTCTAGAGAAGTTCCCTGCTTATTCTCTTCTCCTAAGTACCATACCAGTACCCCATTATGCCATAATTCACTACCCATCAAGAGTTACCCTATTCCCTTTTTATCAACATTAAAAATGTCACTTAAAAAAAAATGTCCATTACGTGTCATGGGCTAAACTGTGTTCCTCACAAACTCATAAAACCAAGTCCTACTCCCAGCACTTCCGGATGTGACCGTATTTTTGGAAACAGGGTCATTACTGATATAATCGGTAAAAATAAGTAGAGTGGGACTCAATAATGCAGTATGACTGGCATCCTTATAAAAAGGGGAAATTTGCCACAAACACGCATACAGGCAGAACACCATGTGGACACAAAGACAAACCAAGCAGAGAGGCCCTTCCCTCACAGACATTCTTTCCTTCACAGACCTTGAAAGCACGAACTGAACCAACACCTCAATGTAAAACTCCTAGACTCCAGAACTGTAAGATAATAAATTCGTATTTTTTAAGCCACCCAGTTTGTTACCACAGCCTGAGCAAGCTAATGTATTACTATACAGCAAGTGAAGAATCAAATCAAAACATCCTGACAGAACTCTCAGAGTAGCACCCCAAATGTCAATGCATGGCCACCATTCCTAATAGACCACACATCTTTTAAGAATCTGAGGAAAGCCACTTTCATGCACACATGAACATTTTTCATATTGTAGACTTAAATCAAGAGTTTAGGGGCACCTGGCTGGCTCAGTTGGTGGAGCATGTGACTCTTGATCTTGGGGTTGCAAGTCTTGAGCCCCACACTGGGTGTGCGAATTACTTAAAAAAATCTTTAAAAAAAAAGAGAGAGAGAGTTTAATCCTCCCCCCTCCTCCCCCAACATGGCCAAAGATGCATGGACTCTATTTAATCAATGGTATCTGTATGTGGAAGAGCAGATCATATACTGATCTTTTTCATTAGAAAATAAACACTACCAGCCCTACCTTTGAGTAAGAAAGAAAAACAGATGAACTAATAATGAAACTTTTCCTCATTGTGTTCTTAAAAAGATTTACAACACATTATTTTTTCAAAAAGGTAAGTACTTTTTGAACTGTGTGTGTATAATTACATCTGAAAATAAATAAAACTTTATCACTATAGCACATTTTATCCTAAAGAATAGACTCTAACACAATGATCAGATGAAAAAAAACTTTTCATAGGTAGACTGTAATTTAAATTCTTAAAAATATGGACCTGGTCAATAAGACTCAAAGTATTTGCCTTGTTTCTTTATTTTGTCTAATCAATTTCACCTTTAGTAACTGACAATAACACATCATGTCAGAAATCTAAGATCAAAAGATTTAAAAACAAAAATCCAACTATTTTATACAAACATTATTAATCATTCACAGCATCCTGCCAATCAAGAAAAGGTTATCCTATAAACATAAGCAAAATGACATGATCTGGTCAATAAAAAGATAATTCTAGTATCTAATTATGAAGATTCAAAACCCTTTACTTTCTTTCCCCAGCTAATTAGTTCTCAGCAGAAAGCACAATGGGAAGATACATAGTTAATACAAAGAGTCTAAGAACAATCTGGAAAACATTAACTCCCATTTAAATAGAAAAGAAAATGAATATTAGATTTTTGCTCTTAAATGTGCTTATCTAATTAATTCAGTCGGGAAAAGTGACGCACAGAAGGTTATATTCTATCTTGTAAAAGTGTATTTAAGTGAATCTAAGGGCAAAATCTCTTTTCCATATATATTATACAGAAATTATTATCACTGTAAAAAGCAGGCAGTGTAGGTGGTGAAAAGTGTCTAGACTGACACTCAGAAGAAATGGGCTCTATTTCTCCTGCTTCTGGTACTAACTACACATGTGAAATTAGGCAAGATCATTTCACCTCTCTGGACCTTGGTTTCCTTATCTCTAAGTTATCTGTCACTTCTCAAAATAACTGCAAACACTGTATAACTTAAAATCTAAAATAGGTCATCAGAATTCCTGATAGATGTTTACATATTTTATATGATCAATATGAATTCATCAGCTACTTAATGAAGAGAGTCAGTGAAATTTCTCACCTGTAAGCTTATCATCATGTAGCAAATTCCGAAGCTTACTACAAAGCTGGATCATGCTGTCCAATTGTCTATTTATCTTCACATCTTGTATCCAGGCTGGGGTATAACACACTGGACATCCAGTCCCAATGCAGTCACTTACACAATTACTTAAAAAAAGATTAAAAGAAAAAAATACATATATGTATCAGTGCATTCAGCAGAAGATTAATTCCAAAATATAAACATAAACAGAGTTTGAACAGAAGTAAATGAAGCAAAGTTTGTTTTAACATGCAATGAGCAAACATAAAATATTTGTTAAAATAATGTTTCTGAAAGAGTATAATACACACACATACAAAATCTAAATCTGAAGGTGCATAGGTAATTTGAGATGAAGAGACTTGACTTAACCAGACATTAGTCTACATATTTTCAAGCAAATAAATCTATAGCTTCTAAAGGGTAAGGGTACAGAGAGGGACAAAAATAAACATATTTACTACCAAATGCATAACAGCCATGCATCTCAACCTTTTGTACCCTAAATCTTAATACTGTGCTTCATGGAAAATTACTGCAAAGAGACCAGGAAAGGTATTTTTTGTTTTGTTGCCAACAAGTGTCTAAAGGCTTTAATGTAGTTTCTGAGAAAAGACACTTGGTTCTTTCAGACACTTTTATAACCTGTAGACTCAATTAAATTACCTCAGGTTATCTGTCTCGAAGTTAAAGTTTCATAGTTGGGGGGAAGGGGTTCTTAACTTTAGGTTACAAATCCTTTGCGAATCTGATGAAGATATACATAAACTCTGGTAAAAAAAAAAAAAGGGGGGGTTCATAATCCCCCCTCCAAAGCTTATCTGTGGATTCAGAAATAAGAAACCTAAAAATCCACTCCTTCCTTAGCCTCACCAGAGGAACTCCAACAAGACTGGTAACCTAACAGTGATGAAAGCCAGATCTCCCCCAAACACCACATTCCTTTCCATGGGACCTACTCATTTGTAGGCACAGAGGATTCTTAAAATATGAGCTTCTTCCAGAAAAAGCCTATAGCATTTCTAGTCTTTGCATCTTAGATTCTGGCATGATTCTGATGCAAAGTAACTCAATAAATATTATAAAATGAATCTGTAAACCATAGTAGAGCTAGGAGAGATTATACTCAAAAATGTCGAATTTCTTTCTTCCTTTTTTTTTTTTGAGAGAGAGTGTGCGGGCGGGGTGGGGGGGCAGAGGTGGGGAGAGGGAGAGGGAGAGGGAGAGGGAGAATCTTAAGCAGACTCCACGCTCAGCAAGGAGCCCAACACGGGCTCAATCTCACAACCCTGAGATCATGAAATGTCAAATTTCTGTAGCAAAGAAAGGAACTTCTTGGAGTTTCTTTGCTTGTAGTTATGAACTCTTAACCTAAAACCCCAACATATAAAAAGGGGAAACTGATTCCACAAGGGAATTAAATCACCAATTACTATGTAATACTTAAGTATTTGAGGAACACTAGTGACAACGTCACAATCGACTCCTCAAGAATCATTACCTTATTTTCAGATGAAGAAAATGAGACTCAGGTAAGACACTTACCTAGCACCACACTGGTACCCAGATCAGTCTATTTTATACATTCTATAATGTTCATCTTTTAACTGTTCTCAAATTATTTTGTAAACATAAATCGAGAATTCTAGGGAAAGATGTCATTTCTCAATAGATCTATGTAACTCAGTAAGTCAATATTTCCCAAATGACCAAAGCATGATGTCAGAAAATCATGCTGGGAAAAAGATCCATTCAAAGCACAGGATAAACTAGTGAAATTTAATGTAACAGAATACCAAAAATTCATTGTTATCCTTTTAGATTCCACACCATAACAAATCTAAAGAAACTAGCACTTGCCAAATAATGGTGTAGTATCAAAGAGTATCCAAAATTACCTAAAAAGGCTATTTAAAAATACTTCCTTTTTCCAATTATGCAGATGTATAATACAAGATTTTTCCTCACATGCTGCAATCAAAATAATATATCACAACAGATTGATTACATAAGCAGGTATGAGATCTACTGTCTTCTATTCAGCAAAAAAATGAAGAGATTTGCATAAATATAACAGTGTCACTCTTCTTACTCGTTTTTCTTTGTTTATGGTCATTTTTCCTTAAAAAAGTGTTATTTATGTTACTATGTAAAGAGTTTATTATTGTTATTTTTAACTAAACAGTATTTTTTAAATGTCTCTGTTTTACATGGCAAATACACACATAAAACTGCTTTAGGGTCCTCAATTTTTAAGGGTGCAAAATGATCCAAAGCCAAAAAGTTTGCATATGTCTGCCATATGTTTTAAACGATTTCTATCTTAAAAAGAATACATGGGCTATTTTTATCAGGGATTGGCATGAAAGTACCTTGAAACTACCACAACACTGTCAATGACATAAAAATCTGTGCCCCTCCCCCAACCTCCCCCCCAACCCCGCCCCACGTCTATGCTTCAGCAGACTGGTATATATCAAGCCATCTTTTAAAACTGCATGATATTTACAGCATTGCTCAACAGTTTTACACAGCCTCAAATCTGCAAAGACTACAGTTACCCTAATTCTTGGCATCACATAATCAAAATAAACCAAAATTGCACTGAATCTATTCTTTCCTGTGATCATGTCATATACAGATGACCACTTTCTCTCTAAGATGTTCTCATGCCTCTCTTAATCTTTCATTGGCCATTTTAAGTCACAGACCCCTTTAGAACCCAATTAAAGGTATAGATCTCTCTCACACTCCATACACTCACACATACACACACAGACACACACTTTACATACTATTTCATGGAGTTGGTTATGCTCCAGCAGACTTGTCACTGATATATTATACACAGTGAGTCCATCAGCTGAAACAAAATAAATCTGCTTACTACCGAGTGAGGACAGGAAGTAGGCATCATTTCATAAGGGGATCATGGGAGGCTTTTTGGAGGTGACATATGAGCTGAAATGTAACTGATGAAAAGTCAGCGTCACAAAAATTTGGCAGTACATTCTAGATGGAAGAAATAGCAAGTGCAAAAGTCCTAGTAAATTCGGTATGTTTAATTAACTAAAAGGAGAAGGTGGCTAGAACAGGGTGAGCTAGTGGGAAGTGTGGTTGGAGAGGTAGGTAGGAATTAGGTCCTGTACAGGGTCTTCTGAACCTTAGAGTGAAGAGTTTGGATTTTATTCTAACTGTAATAGAAGCCACTAGAGGATTTTAAGGAGGGTAATGATATGGATGTGATTTACATTTTTAAAAGATCACTGGTAAGAATGGACAAAATGGGGAAGGGAACCAGGTAGGAACTTAGGACAACAATCTGAGGAGAGATAATAGGATAGTGGCTTGGACCAAAGTGTAAACAGTAGTAAATATAGAGCAAAGTGGGAAAATTCAAGATTCAAGGGACATTTTGAGGTGGAGCTGACAGAACTTAATAATATGATAAGGAAGAAAAGAACAATCGGGTATGACTTGTGGCTTTTGCCTTGAGCAACTCTGCAATCAGTGGTACCCTTTATGGCCACGAAGATCACCGATGGAAGGGGAGAATGGCCAACAGACATGCTCTGCACAACCAGCCAGTCTGAAATCCCCTGTCATCATCCAAATGGAGCTATCAGGTAGGCAACAGGTATAATTTCCTATCCCCCCCTCCAGTTGGATATGTCCCATATATCAGATCCATGTTTCCAGAAAGAAAATTGGGACCCCAAGCATAATTGCTTCCCACGCATCCCAGCCCACAGCAGTCAGGCAGTAAATTATTTTCATATGTGCTTAACTCCACATTGCAGTGGCCCGTGCCAGACAGTCACATAGTCGTAACTGAAATCATGAAAAACTACTCAAAGGAGGCTGTATCAACTCTGTCTCACAGACAATTAAACTAAGACATTCAATCCTTGAATTTATTTCCCCAAAATAAGGAATAGAATGAGGTGAAAATCTAGTATTCTAATCTATAAGCCAGGGCTTTCCTACTAGAACACGGATATAACTTCACAGTAACTGTTATGGCTTGAACTGTGTCCCCCAAAAAGATGCTGAAGTCTTAACACCCAGTACCTAAGAATGTGATCTTATTTGGAAATAGGATCTTTCTGGATGATCACATTAACATGAGATCGTCGAGGTGAGACTTAATCCAATATAACTAGCATTCTTACAGAAAGGGGAAGTTTGGACACATAAACAAATACACAAGAGAGAAATCCATGTGAACATGAAAGTTCGAATCAGAGTGATATATCTACAAGCCAAAGAATGCTGAAGATGCCAGAAGACAAAGATTTCTCCACCAGAAGGTAGAAAAGAATCATGGAACAGAGTCTTCCTCACAGCCCTGCTTGTCACCTTGCTCTCAGACTTCTAGCCTCCCAAACTGTGAGACAATAAATTTCTGTCACTCTAAAGCACCCAGTCTTTGGTACTGTGTTACAGCAACCCTAGAAAACCAATCCAGTAAATATAAGAACTAGATTTTCATAATCTGGAAAGTCTAGACTCAAAACTAACTGGAAGGAAAAAAAGAGACATACTTCAAATACACAATAGATTTTTCTCCCCAAGCTTAGCCGAGCTACTTAGTAAGCTTCACAACTTTAGACAAGTCATCCCCTTTGAGCTTTGATGCTCTTATTTGCAAATTAAGACAGTTATAAGAATCAAAATGAGAGAATGTACAGTAAGTTATCTGCAGTCTATGAGAGCTACATAAACATAATGTAATGTTATTATTAATATGATTACATGATGATGACCTAGTAAAAAATATAGTAACACTAAGGATCAAGCCATAATTACTTACCTACAGAAGATGTGCTCACACCCCCCTAAACACACAGGCTCCCTCAGAATATGAGTGCTGTTTGAAGAAAAGAAAACAGTCAAGACTTAGGTCATTGTTAGATAAACATTTTACACCCAACATTTCATAAATCCAAAGCCTAACACTACCATAGTTCTCTTTCTCAGAAGATATCAAGCAGAAAAAGAAATGAAGGATGTATTTATTTGAAAGGTTATTACTACCTGATTAAATACTGTATCATCACACATCTGCTGGACTCAAATAGCTACTACCAAACTCAGTACATACTGTAACATTTTCTATAATGCACATACTGGGAAATCATAGAAGCAACTCTGTGCAAGTATCTCTATACCTCTTACAGGCAAAACCAACCACTGACTGCTTCTTTCAACTACTAAGATACATCTTCACCTAATGATTCAAAGTACAGACCATAAATTTCAAAATAAGACTTAAAAATAGAATGACCATATATTATCCATATGAGAACATTTCTGAGAGTAAAGGGACGTGATAACTGAATAGGACACTGGGACAAGCAGGTATAAACCAGGGCGGACCCGGGAAAATCAGGACATCTGATCACTTGGACCCTAAGAATTCACGATTTCCCATAGGAATACACTGGTTTCTGGCTATTGTTAAGTGGCCATTTACATTTCATCGATGCCTTGTCAAAAATACAGCCATTCTTTCAGTTCACAATTAGTTGACTGTTTTGTACTTTAAGCAACCGCAAATAGGAATCATCACTCTGCAGACTGAATGAGATTCATGGCATTGGGGGAAGAGAGACAGAAACACAATTATTGTCCATCAAAGTACCCGCTACATTTGAAAATAACAGTACTTACTTATTAATAAACACATCAAGTCATTACTTTCAGAGGGCGTAATGCAGTGAGAGCAAACAGGAAAAATAAAGCTTTCAAAGGATGAACATTTTTTGTGCTTGGTTTATTACACTAACCTTAGGACCTTTAGGTATTTACACCATTATTTATCCAATTACCTCTGTACACATTACCACATATCAATAAAAACAGTTTTCCACATTTCTTGAAAGATCAAAAGTATCACACTGCACATTTTAATCGATATGAACATTAAAGTGAAATCGAGCTTTCAGAAAGAATGCTAACAACAGAGTACACACCTACAATGTTATCCTCAAGATACCAAAAATGGTGCTCATTGACATTATAAAACCCATTACTTTTTTAAAACTCACAATATCTGATTTTTCTATCACATTACACAGATCACAGCGATAAAAATACGACTTGTGACGTGCCAGCCACTTTTGTGATTCTGGCAATTAAGATGATCTCTGCTCCAGCAACCATACTCTTCCTGTAATTTTTGTTCATGATTTCATCTACCAAATCTCATCTCTTATCTCCTAATCAAGTGTGCTGAATTCTACCTTCATTAAAAGCTCTGCTCTAAGATCTTCACCTCCCCCATCATAATAATTCCCTGTCTCTCTTTCATTCCATCACTCTGACCAAACCTCCACCTTCAGGTCGCGTTCCACCTTGAGAGAACACCGTTCAGTTCATTAGCTCCTTGGATTCCCTAGGCCAGAGTTAACTACTTCACAGTCACCTTCACCACCACCCCATTTCCACTGACCTCTGAGACATTCACAGACACCAATCTACAATGCCAGATAGGCCCTGCAGTCCACTCCTTCCTTGCCTACTCTCAGGCTATGACTAACCATTATAAAAAGAAAGAGAGACAGAAGTGCCTAGGTGGCCCAGTCAGTTAAGAGTTGGACTTGATCTCAGCTCAAGTCGTGATCTCAGGGTGGTGAGACAGAGCTCTGCGTTGGGTTCAGTGCAGAGTCGGCTTGGGATTCTCTCTCTCCCTCTCCCTCCGCCCCTCCCCCTGCTCGCTCTCTCTCTAAAAACAAAAAAAAGAGAGAGAGATAAATGTGTCTCTATACATAGTTGGTAGTTTCTTCACCTTTGTATCTCTACCGAAGTGGCACATATTTTCGGTGAGAAAACAAATGAACAGATGCTTTTTGAAACAATCTCCATGCTCTGAAATCCCACTAACCTGACTGGAGATGAACAGTGTGAGCTTTTCACCACCCATTCCTACCTCTTCCTCCATAATGCTATCCGTCCCTTCAGGCTCAGCGGAAAAGATCTCCTGCAGTCACTCTTCCTTCTTAAAATGTGCCGCTGGATCTCTCCCTAGATCCCTTATCTTCTCTGTCTCCTAAAGTGGTCTATGCTTGTCATTATAGTCACCTTTCTTCTTCCATCTGCCTAAACATGCCCAAGTAGGTACTCTCTCTTCCACCCTAAAAATAAGCACTTTCTTTAGATCCTGCCTCTCTACCTTCAACCCCAGCTCTTCCCTACAAAGGTCCTAAGTGCTCTACAGAGTTCACTCCATCTCCTCCGCTCCGTAGCTTGAACTCCCAACACTGCTGAAACTGCTCCCCAAAAGCACTTTTAGGCCTCATTTTCCCTGACCCTTCTGTGAAGTAACATTGACCTCAACTTCCTTCCTGAAACCTTTCCTTCTGTTGAGTCTTAATTTTCTTACAGCACATTCATCTGCCCATTTCAGCATTTCATTAACTGCTTCTTTCCTGTCTCTCAATCGTAAGCTTACGCCCAGGATGCAGTCCAGACTTCGGCTGTCTATGGTAGTACTCTACTCAATGCCTTGATTCTGTTCCTAAACTTAAATTTCCTTTCTAAGATGACTCTGAACCCTTTATCTATGGTTCTGATCCTTCACCCTAGCAATGAGATGCTACAGTGTGATTAGCAATGAACCTAATATCTATGAATAACTGATCAACTGTACTAATTATTCTAATTAGTGAGCTAAAATATATTTTGTTGCTGTTAACAGATGAGGAACACCACTAGACGAGTGACGGAGAAGTATGTGCCTGTGAGCATAGGGGAAAGAGCAGGGAAAGGGGTGTTAAAACCAAGACTGGGAGGGGGCCATGTCAAGTTCAAAAGAATGTTACTGAAGAGCTCAAAAGTGCAGATACAGAGGGTGGCAATGATCTATGTCAGAGCCAGGCTTTCTGACAATGCCTAGAGCTTAGCTGAGAAGATACTGTGGAATAAAACAATTTCTATTACAACCAGACAATATCTATCAAAATTTTAAATGCACCCACTTTTAATTCAACTATTCCCCTACCAGGAATTTATCCTTTAGGGATACTCAGATGCTTGCAAAACTGAAACTTCAAAAGACCAAACATATCTACTTAAGACAGGATACCAAGAGACTGCAGAGATTAAGAAATAATAAAACTAAAATGCCATAAATATATATATACATATATATATATTTTTTTTTATTAAAGGATTCAGAATAGCATAAGATATCTCAAGGATAACAGGGATGCCTGGCCTTCAAAATAATGATTGAAAATTATTTTGCACTTCAAATTTTATACCTAGTCATCTTCCATAGTAGAAAGTTTTCTTATTATAAGAAAACTTGTAATAAGAAAACTCTTTCTTATAATAAGAAAACTCATCTTTTAGAGTAGGAGGTTAGAAAGTAAATAAATGTCTAAAATGGAAAAATTCAAGAAGTAGCAACAGAAACATATCATTTGGAAATGTACAAGTAAATCATGAAGAACTAAAAGAGATGAAAGAGGTTGTATCTGAAGTACAGATGAAGCAAAAGAATGTTTCCATTATGTCTTTGCCTTATCGACTTTGTTGACTATGTTCATGTATAATTTTAATAAAAAATTTTATAATGTTAAGGCCAATGGACAAGGATATTCACTCCAGCACAGATTACAGCAGAAGACCAGAACAATCTAAATTTTAATCAAGGAAATGGTTACACACATCATGATACATCTCCTGATGTATAGCATCTTCTCATCTGAGGCATATAATGCTTATATAAACAGACAACCTCTTATTAAAAGATACACAAAAAAACTGATCATAGTGGGTCCTTAAAGAAAAGGATTCGGGCTCACCTGTCATTCACTTATTTAATGGCCACATACCTTGATATTTTAACGCATGTATTACTTTCAATTTTTAAAAACTTCTTGTTCTTCACAATCCAGTAACTACAAAGCAGGCAACCTTTTCTTATACTGCTCCTCCACAAAAACTCTGGTCTCAACAGTCTGCAACATTTCTCAAACACGCAATGTCCAAAACCAAGCCCAGGTATGCTTAGAATGTTCTCCCCAGCCTAGAATACCCTTCCTCCCTCCCACCCCCAAAACTATTCAAGCCCAACACATCCAAATACTATCCAGGATGATATAATAAAAACAACACTGGAGAAAGAAGCACAGAACTTCTTGGATGTTAGTTTCTATACCATCACTTACACAAAATCTGTACCTTGCACCGGACACGTAAGGACACAAGGTTGCCTGCAACACAATCTATATACTAAGGGGCTTATAATTGAACTAGGTAATTTTATAAGCAAAGTTAGTATATGACTTAAGAGAAGTACGAAACACTCTAAAGTTCCAGAGAGATGGAATCTAGTTGGAGGTCTGGAAATCAATGCTGAAAGCGAAATATTTTGAATTTTATCTGCTTGGTTCCCTATTTTTCCCACTGGTCTCCAAATAGATTATAACCCTACAAACAAGAGAATTTGACTTTTATTTTTTCTGAACTCCCCAACACACTATTACCTCCCTAGCATGGTGCTATATGAACAGCGGAATTTCGATAAATCCTTAGTGAATGAAGCAAATGGAAAACTATATGCAAAAATGAATTTATATTAACAATTCTATTTTATCCTTACCCTATTCTTTGTTTGATATACATATATATTAGAAAGAAAAAAAAAATCCAGAAGAATAAGAAAAGACATCTGCATGGTAACAGGATTTCTGTACCTTGAAAATTCAGCTACTCTACTTTTACCCATCTGCAGTCATATTTCTGTTACTTTACATGTAGTTGATTTGGAAAGATCGGCGCAGTCAGAGGATTATAACTTAGGGAAGAACTAAGTAGTGAGAACAAACAACATTTTTTTATAAAAAAAGTCCCACTGAAATA